CCCCCCCGAAAGATGTGGTTTTCCAGTACAAGAGGTGATTTGTAGAAATACGTCAACTCTAAAAATAGCCTCAATTTCTGCAACGCAGTATCGATTCAAGAGTTGGTTTCATCGTCGCAGAGGAACTCCGAGTGAGTGCCGAAGATGCTATAGCCTAGAACAATAATATTTTCACTTTCAGAACAGTTTCAGTAGTCCCGTACTTGTATAAATAGTTGTTGGAGCACATTTCGAATCACAGTTGATTATAAAAGCAAAACTGACTGCTGGTGTTGTGAAAATTAAGAGCCTATTAGGCTATGAAAAGGAAGAAAGGAGTTACTATTCAGATGTAAGTTGGACTTCTAACAAAATTTCACCATACACGTGTCTGTTACCGGTACTATTAAATAAAATTAATCTGTAATGTCATAGTGTAGGCCTTTATCATAATGTAACCTATTTAAAAGAATTACTTGGAAAGTTAACCAATAACTACACGTGGAACAGAAAACGTTGAAGGAGAAGAACAGAAAACGTTGAAGGAGAACTAAAAAAATAAGAAAGAAAAACAAACAGTAGTAAACTTTCCGGCTAGGTATAATATTACACTGTTCATTAATTAAAAGAAAAAAAAAAGAAAAGAAAGACAAACGTGGTAGATAGTGTATTAGAATAAGCACGTTTATAAGAAAAGTATCAGAGGGTTTTACCGTTTTACTGTAAACTCTCTGCTAGTATGGGTTTTTTTTTGTAGACCTGAACATCGAGGTACATGCAATTAAAATAATTTTATGATTTTTTAAAGTATAGACGAACGAAGAAATGAACTGAGAACCATCGCCGGCATATCCAGATCTGGCACATTAATTTATGAGGACAGTTATATATATAATATATTATAATATATGTATTATCCTTGTTTTTTTGTTTTTTTTACATTATATGCCATGCCATATACCTGGGGGTGTCATATCTCTGTCTCAGAGGTTGAAGTGCAATGACTTAAAATTGCCGTTGCTTTCACCGGGCGCTAGCTGCCAACGTACACTCTGACATAATTTAAGGCATGTTCTTGCAGGCTACAATCTGTTGTCTCATTTGAATGTTAAAAAAACCACAACAACAACAATTATTAACATTACCTTAATAAAGTATTAAACCGTATTTATTAAAGAGTTTTTGTAGAATAGAGCCTTCAGGTCTTTACAAAAATATTAATCTGTTAAGACAAATTATTGATACAAATAACTGTACAAAAGCTGGAGAGTTTATGTTCGATGGTTGAGGAGATATTTGAGGATAAGTTGCGCAACGAATTTTTGACTGCATTACTATAAGGTTTGCTACTGGTTCAACTGAGTATTCACATTTTCCATTGATTTAGTTTTAGTTTTCGTTTCGTCGCAGGGCCAGCCAAGGGCTTGGAGGAACTATTATAGTTACTCCAAGGCCAAGGGGCTTCAAACTTCAAATTCAAATAGGGCATACTCAACGACACGGTCTGGTTGGTAGCTCGAAGTCAAGGAGGTTATAAATAGAAAATTCTTAGTTTCTTACTTCTTACTCCTTAGGCTACTTGAAGCATTGCAGTACAATGTAGATCTAGGCTTGTTGTAGGCTACCTGCTTACCTGCTTTTGGCTGTGACTTCGTTTTCCTGCGCCCGACGAACATGTCGTGACGTTTGTTGGTGGTATTTTGAATGGAATGGAAGGTAATCTAGACTTCTAAATCTAGAGGCTACGATACATTATAATAGGCCTAGGCCTAATACATTTTCAATTTCAAGTGAAGTAGATCTAGATATCTAGATCTAGATTAGATATCTAGATCTAGATCTAGATCTAGATCTAAATCTAGATAGAAGGGTCTAGATCTAGATCTAGATCTAGATTCTAGATTGGCCACCTCTATTCTCAATAGTGCAGGCGGGTCTTGTGGCTATTCTCACCCGGTGCGCGTGTCAACAAATTTTGCGTTCACCCTAAACCACAGAATTCTACACTGTGATAAGAGAAAAATTGTAGAATTCTGTGCTGTGAACAAACGTTCCATTACAACTGTACTTGTAGCCTACTAAAAGCGTACAATTTTGTCTGTGGGCAGGGGAGAGAGAGAGAGTGAGAGAGAGAACAAAACAAAATGGCGACCCGCGTAGTTCGGCTTGATTCGAAAAGTTAAATAGCCGTAGCATCTTTGTAGACAACCAAATTAATTTACTTTTGTGTTTTAACTTGATTTTTTAACTTTGTTTTGGTCAATTTGATCGTCCACACCGATAGACAGTATTCAGAAAGAGACAGAGAGAGAGAGAAGAGGGGAGGAGTAGATCTTGCGAGAACTTCGGGGCGGGTGAGAATAGCCACTTTCTTCTAGATTAGATCTAGAGATCTAGATATAGATCTAGATCTAGTTTTGGGATTTCCTGTTTTGGCCCCAAGTCCTGTGGCGATGGAGTGTGGGTTTTGGCTTCATGGATGATTTTTTCTGGTTCTAAACGATAACTTTTCGACACACAGGCCAAAATTATTATGATGTTTTTTTTATTGAATTGCAAAACATCAAATTATGGTTATCTTCGAGCAGGGCGAGTTTTTTTTCCTGATGTACGGTACGGGCAGCTTGCTTTTGTGTAAGGTCAGGGAGGGGCAAGCCTAATACCCCGTTGTTTGAAACACGTGAAAGATTAAACTGCTCATTTTGTACTGAAGAATAGCAGCGCATCTCTCGCTTTCTTTTGGATAAGACATTGATACCCTGTCAGTATTTAAGTCAGTATCGATATCCAGTACTCTTGAGGTCAATACCGGAGGGATTTCTTCAGACCTGCTCGCAGATGCACTGTTTTGGTGGCTGACCTGTCTTATTATTTGTTGCAGAACACTCATACATATATGGCCTCTAAAACTGCTGCATATATGAATTGTTTTCAGGAAAACATCTAACCAAATCGCAAAACATCAATGGTGAAATGCAGAGTTGCACGCCTCCTGAACCACTACCCCCTTCCAGATTTTTTAAGGTTGGGTGCAGGCTCCCCCCTGCTTTAAAAAACACATGAAATACAGTGTGTATAAGACGGATAGCTCGAATTCATCGGGACCAGCCTCAGTAGTTCTAAGGATTTCTTACAAAGATAAAAGAAACAAAAAAACGGGACCGCAGGCACAGTTCGATGGACAAGTGATTTTGGGCCTTCTGTATTTGACCTATTCGTGTTATACTGTATTACTACGCAATTGAGTTGGTATAAAAACCTCTTAAGCTGATAATTTGCAGTGCATAATAAAGTCAAAATTTGTGAAGGCCTACAAATAAAAATAAATGAAGAAAATTGCGTTTGATAGAATATCTGAGCAAAAGACAGGCCCATGATGAGTAAAATGTAAATTTATGCCTTTCTGAGGCTCAAAGGGTGGAGTTTACTTAGTTGTCATGATGTCTCTATTAGTACTTTGGTCCGGTTCACACGATTTTACTTCGAATTTCAGAACTTATCTTTAGACAGTTTTGGGGAAACTAATGCAACTTTAGACAAATCAATATTTTGATTCTGCTCAATCTCAGAACAGATGCTTTTTTTTGTAGTTTAGGTCCAGCTTATTTAAACAATTTTCTATTTAAAAAAAATTATTTTGGTGCACTTATATACCATACTGTTATGGAGCACACTGCTTGATAATCCTTTTTCTGCCTGAAAATTATAATTTTTCACAGGATTTGCCTCTCTAAAAAAACTAAAGGTAATGTTATGTTCTCTTGTTTCTGCTTATATTTCAGTTTTTCTTCTCATAAATTTATCATGCTGGTAAGGAATCTTTCAAACGACAACTTCAAGGTGGATGTTCATGATGACGGGCTCAGGCGATAAGGACAGCATCAGTTCATTTTCATCTGACGATTCATCATACAGAGAAAAATTTGAGAAAGAAAAAGAAAAGAATTTGAAGCTGACAGAAAAGCTACGTGGTTACGAATCTGTTGGTAAGTTGAATGTATGAATTCCAGTTCAAAGACTTGACAAGATATTATTATATTGATGATTTTGAATTCATGTTTTATGCTGTCAGTTGTCATCTATATATATATCCTCATATTTTAAAAGCATTTATATAAATACAGTCAAACCGGTGTAAGACGGCCACTCATTGTCAAGGAGAAAAGTGGCCGTGTAAGACAGGTGTGGCAGTCTTAGGCAGGACTGATCAAGATGAAGAAAACAAATCATTCCCATCTGAGGTCCCAATCGAAAGTAGCCGCATTGTTGTTGTTGGTTTGTATTTTGTTTGTAATTTTTACTTTGTTGCTGATTTTGCACAAGGGTGACAATAAAACGAAATGTATCAGACGAGGAAGACTGGGTGCCATGTTAAAACAAACATATGGGTCGCCACCACTCGGAGAACGAGCGACGCTTCTATCAGAAGTTCATATTGACGTCCTTTATTACTTTGTTACAGACTGGGTAAACAGGGACCACACATCTCACTTACGATTTGTGTATGAGTTCTGGGCGGGGCTTTTATGGGTTATGAGGGATCACACGCTTACCTCATCAATAGCTGAAAAATGGTAGCTATTGGTCAACAGTGGGAGGGGCCTGCGCAACATGATCGGTTGGAGGGGCTACCTAACAACAACGACAGGTGATTGAATTATGACGGCTCGCCCACAACACCAGGGGCCAATGCACAATTTATTGCGAAACGTAATGGAGTCACTAAGGTGGCCGTCTAAGACAGAGGTGTTATTGCTTGCAGCTTAGTGTGATAGGGGTTGTGTTTTGAAATATGGAGGCCCCGGCCATGTTGGTCCGGTGCCCCTTTTACACAGTTAAATTATATAGAAAAAACGCAAGGGGCGAAATGGAAAGTGGCCGTCAGGGCTGGTTTGACTGTATTGGGTTGATTTTGAATTAATTTTTATGCTGCATTGTTGTTACCAATTGTCATGTATTCTCATGCTTCGAGATTTTATTTTCAGGAAAATGGAGGGGAATAAGGGAGAAAAATGTTGGTTATAAATAGAGCCAGTAGAGGTTGCCTTTTATAGCAGCAATTGGAGAGCGAACTAAAGGCAGATGAAGGTAGAAATACACAGATGGAGAGGGTGAGGGTCATTTTTTACAATTTTTCTTTCTTTTATTTTTTCTAAATTGTACTGGAGAAAAAGATCAACTCTAGCGACTTCAACGCAAGTGGAGTCAACTGTATTATTTTTTGGTCTGAAAACGAAAGGATATAATTTTTCAGTTTGTCTTTAATTTTTTTTGAAAACATGAAAATTTTGAACCAGAAAAATATACAATTGATTTCTGACTGTTTTAAGTTATACTTTAGCAGTATCTGTACTGATTGCCATGGGATATAGGTATTTCCAGAAGGTGCTTTGTTTTCATTCTGAAAGATTTACAAGTTTAGAGGGAAACAAATATTTACATTTCAGTGTTGTGAATAAGCACCTAAATTGGGTTTTAAATGTTTTTCCTTGTTTTTCTATCTCTTTTCAGTTGGTCAATACACAAGATATTTCAGTGACCATCAAGCTGTGATTCACGAATTGGAGAAACGGAAGAATAAAGACCTAGCAGAAGCAAATAGGAATACCCCTGCTTTGTGCACGTTTGAACAAGGAGCCAGCTCTCAGGTAATCATCTAATTTCCCCAATACCTGGCTGGTGGTTCGAGGGTATTCTAGGTTGAGTTCTGTTTTTTTATGTGAGCTTTTTTTTCTCATCTTTCCGATCAGTCACCTTGCTTTGTCCGTCCCAATGTCTTTTCCATTTTAGCTGGCGTGCCTATCCCTGCTCCTCCCCACTAAAAAACCCCAAACAAACCAACAATCCCTCCCCCCCAAAATACAAACAAAAACAATAACAAAAAAGATAGACCTGTCTATGATTGTCAAATTTCTAAGTAGCTTGCATGTGTAATGTGAATCACATTGTGATCTATGCAATAGTAGTGAATGTCAAAGTAATAACAAAGTGAAATCTGTTTCCAGTCTCCTGGCTCTGAGCTGCACCTTACAGACTAATGGTCTTTAACAACTTCAATAAAATACAAATTGTTTTTCATAATGAGTGTGCAGTTTGAGGGAGCTGTATTTCCTCTCACTTCTGTGTTCAAGAATGTTCTGTTTACAGTGGACTTTCCCTTGGACCCTTTGAGTTAGTCAGTATGAATATATAACACACCTTTCTAGATATCTTTTGATGTTCCGGGCTATTTCATGGTTTCCATGACAGTATTAGAGTCTCAGTAAACGGAGCCTTTTCTTTTGTACAGAACTGTCTCTTATAAAGCAAGATATCTTGGCTGAATATTGGTTAGATTTTTTTTCTATTCTCATCCCCTTCAGGTTTTGACAGACCCGCTAGACTCAAACAGTTACAGTATTTCAAACAAGCTTGGAGAGAACTCATCCTCGTTGGTAGTGACTGAGGGGGATCGGCTTAAAATCTTTTCTGGACTATTTAACAAAAATCCATGTACTGTTTTGCACCAAGGCCAAGGAGAATGCTCTCCACATAAAGATAATATGCTCCATTGTCAGCTGGGAAGCAAGTGTCAAGACAGCCTTTCTGTTATTTCTTCACCTGCCTCAGCACCCTCAATGACACTTGTAGGACAGGGAAATCATTCTGTGGGCTGCCAGTTTCCCAGTGGTACCTCTGGGCTGGCACCAAACACATCCAAAGAATTGCTTCACCAGAACCAAGCCAATATCTTGAACAGCAAGTCTAATCTCAGTGGAGCATCAGTTTTGGCACTCCTAGCTGAGCCTGCAAGAAGTGACATTTCCAATACACCTGGAAGAAGTGACATTTCCAATTCATCTGTGAGTTCTCTGTCACAGACTCACAATGGCCAATCGCAAGTAAGGCATACTGGTGCTTCACCTAGTAGCATCACTGCTGTAGCTGCTCCCAATGCTTCTACAATGTCTTTGACAGAGCAAAATCCACATACAAATGCCTTGCCTAATGGAGAAATAGTTTCTGCTGAACAAACAACACCCCAGCAGCAAGTTGTAGTTGAAAAACCAGAGCATTCTGGAACATCTGTGTTGCCCCCACCTGTATGGGGCATAGGTGCCAGACCAAAAGATACTAATCCCCTTGATTGGCTGCCGTTAAACATGGCAGGAGGGCAGGAATTGGGGACAAAGTTTGATAGCCCAAAGACTCTAGCAGAGAACAATGAAACGACAGAAACTGGAGTACCTCCTCTTATCCCTGAGGTTCCGACATCTTTAAACAACTTCATCACTAATGCAGGAGACCACAGTGCACTGTTGAATGCTCTGACGGCTGGTGGTGATTCTTTGGCTCTGAACATTCCAGGTTCGCTGGCCGTTCAGGTGAGTGAGGTTGTTAGAAAGTTTTTTCTGAATTTACTTCATGAATTATCAAAACAATAGAGGATGGTTGCATGTGCTTTTTAGTAGTATAGTATACCTCCTAGCTTTTCCTTCATATATTACGGTCTTCTGTTTTGCTATCTTTTTATAATAATTTGAAGTTATTGTAATTGATTATGGTCTCTTCTTATATTTATTGAAAAAATAACAACCAGAAAAGTGGATGAGAAAATATAAGCCTAAATTTAGTGCTGATTGAGTTAAAGATTTCTTTTTCATAACCTACATATAATGTCTCAATTGTTTTGTTTTTTTCAGAACACCTTTAATGGAGAAAACGATTTGATGACATTCCAAAGTTTGAAGTTGACTCCGTCTCCAGAGAAGTCTTTTCCAGGATCCAAGGATGATTCTCACAGTCTGTTTGTCAAACAGCCAAACCAAGTTGTTGCCGTAAGATCCTTCTGTTGTCTCAATAATTTATAATTTTTCGTTCTCTGCTTGTAGTCATTTTAGTAATTTGTTATTGATTTTAACGCTAATCAAAACCAATTAAGTCATTGTGACACCCCTGGGCAGTGCCACTGACTGAAGTGTCTTTAGGACATTCCCAAAGGGGGGACATTTCTCGTTCAAGCATAGTAGAATTGTAAATGGGCTGACTCATGTCACGCTCATAATTGTGCCTGATCTCCAACAGGGAACTGCTGCTTTTTCTTTCCTGATCCTTACTATTGTCATTTTCCTCTACTTCTTTTGTATGTTTGTCACTCTCTTGTGACCTGCTATTTTGGGGTGCCTTGATAGTCAAAGCAGACCTTGTGCTGTTGAAGCTAGAGAGGTGAGCAGTCTAAGTCTGATTCCCTGTAAAGACTTCTCTGTTGACACCCACCCCTTGGCGCTCATCATATGACCTTATGCAGTTGCGAGCGCCGTAAAACCCTCTACCATAATAAAGTCATTGTGGGTGTTTTGGCAGGTGCTCTCGTGTGGTTTGCTCATTCCTTCCTATCTGATTTCTAACATCCCTGTCTCCCCTACTTCTTTTGTGTGTTTGTTACTCCATCGTAACACCTCAAAACCTCGGCAGTTATATGACCGGACCTTATTGTATTGCAAGTGCCGTAGAACACTTACTAAAACAAATAATATCATTTTCAGTATACGCTAACTTTGTTTGACTGGTAGACATCCCAGTGTAAAGTTTTAGCAGCTTGGTAAAATATTTTCATCATACTGAAATTTGGCTCCTTCCCTTTGTGTTCAAACCTCAACTCAGCAATACACTACAAATGCTCATGTTCTTTGTATCAAATTTATTCAGAATTTTCTAACATAATCACCTAGGGTAGGTTGTTGCAGGATGCCACTGCTTCATCTTATTTTACTACTGCTTTTAGACTGCTTTTTGTTTGTAAGGCCGTAGACAGAGGCCTGTTTGATTTGGATGGTAGATAATATAGTGTAAAAATAAAACTCAGAACTCAAAACTCTTTTTTTGCCATCCAAATGGCAGTGCAATATACCTGTGTAGTGAAAGAGGTCTAAATTCTATTTATCAGGATACTGTGTTTCTTTCTTTCTCTTACTGGAACTGTTTTAATTTTTATTTATGATTTTATGACTCCATTGATGAAATAGGCAGTTCTTCTCTGGTACCTGTCTTGTTTAAACATTTTTTGTAGGGACTAATATGACCCCATCTTTGAGTCTTTCATGCACTCACTCATACAAGTGCTCACTCCCATACATGTACACACTCACATTCACACACGGATGTA